TTTATAATCTTGTCTCATTTTCTTTCATGATGGATTTGTTTAAGGAAAAAAAGGTATCTGTTCCTTTCCCCCCCCCAGCCCTCACACTCACCCCTCCTTTTCTCCTTCCTGGGCAAATCCATATGAATCGTATCTGCCTCGTTCGTGTGCTTTTTTTTGTTTTAAATCTCTGCAGGTAACTCACAATTGGCTTTATTTCCTTTTGTTCGTGTCTTTTTGTTTCAGGTTTTGTATTCTAGGTTTGCATTGTGTGTTTGGCTCCGTGTGTCGGATGTTTGATAAGATGATGTGGGGTTGGGGTCGCTTACCATCACGTTTATTTTCCTACACACACGCACCCCTCCCATCCTCCATCTCTGTGGTCACTGTTGGAAGCCATTTGGCAGAATAACCCCCAGCTGGGGTAGCATTTGACTCTTCAAACTTCTGGATGAAATGCACACTGTCAGCATGGAAAATGATCTTTATGAGTTTTCACTTCAAAAACCATCTTATTGCCTTTTTTTCCGTCTATTTTGTAAGGCTGGCATGGTATATTTTCCTAAGAGCCTTTATTAAAAAGGCCTGCAGTGGCGATATTTAAAAAATGGAGGCGATTTTTGCAGTTGAAAGAGTTTTTAGAAAGGAATCTTTGCTAATCAGCGTTAGGATTGCTTATCACGCCTGGATTATTTTATACCAAAACTGGACATTTTTGATAAAGCATCTTTAACTCCACATGTTTTCCGCACACCACCACCTTCCCTAGGAGATGTTAGACTCACACATTGAGGCATTTTCACTCTACTTTCCTGTAGGCTGGTAGGCTGTGGCTTTTACTGACAACTAGGATGTAGCTAAGTGACATTGAATTGAAGTTGAATACTTACTTTTTAAATCAGTTGGGTTATTTTTTTACTTTGGATGGCTCAGACTATCGAAGTCTGGCTTAAGGAAGTCTATTAACAGGCAAACGGCTTGTTGGGGGAGGACGAGGGATATCTTGCAGAGCCAGGACTTATTTCTCCATTTCCACCATTATGGTTTTCCAACGAAAACGGGATATACTTTTGTGGGAACGCTTGGGAAGAGGTTATTCAGGTGGCTTCTGAAGAAATTAAACCTTGCCTTTCGCTCTCCACTGCATTGTGGGAGCGAACAAAGACTTAAATCGTTCGAGGGGTTGGTTTTTATTCTTTGCAGTTTTTATTTTGGCCCAAGGTAGATTCATCTCACCTATGGAGTTGTTTGCTTTTCAGAGTTGTATCCTCTCCTCACCTGCATTCCTGCTGTTATGGTTGCCTACAAAGGCAGAGCTCCCAGGTTTAAAAAAAAGCCCCAGTTTTAGAATGATACAGAATTATTCTGTCTACCCGCCAGTGTTGATCACAGTTATTTATTGCTCTGTACAACGCTGAATACAAGGGAAAGGGACTCCTTTAAGCAAATTCAGAGAACTGGGAGGTGTCTGTAAGTACATCTCTTGTCTTGTTCTGTTGTGGGTCGTTTCTGGCAAAGATTGGAGCCCAAAGTTTGGTTGTGCTTTCTGTTTGCAGTGGGATCAATG